TCCTGCCTCAGCCTCCTGAGTGCTGGAATTACAGGCGTGTGCCACCATGCCCAGCTATCTACAGTTTTCTGAAATAAAAAGTGAAATATAGAGTTAGGGGTGTAGCTCAATGGGTACAGCCTTGCAAGGTCCTGGATCAACCCCCAGCACTGAAAAAGGAGAAAAGTGAAATACATTCCCTGCAGTTCTCTGAAGTGCCTACCGCAAAGGGCCCTGGCCTCCCCAACCCGAGGCCCCAGAAGAGGCCATCTGACTGCTGTCTGGTTGGGGAGGGTATGTGATATGACACGAGCTTGCCGGCAGCTTCTACTGTCCCCTGTTCCTCTCAGTGCTGGGTCCCTGCATGGGCACCTGGGCCAACAGAGGGCTCTGGCCTGGCTGTGGCCCTCCTGCCCCTCCTCCAGACTGCTGACCTCTCATCTCTCTTTCCTTCCAGCCAGCAGAGAACCAGGCGTCCTTATCGCCATCCTGTCAGAGGGCACACTCACAGCAGAGCAGCTGGGATCCCAGCTGGGATCCTGGCCCCTCCTTCGGCCCTCAGCCCGCTCTGTCTCCTACAGCCCTCTTGAAGGCAGAGCCTCGCGTCTCCATCACCATCGCAGAGGGCCTGGCTCTGTCCTTGCACACTCAGCTGCTCAGTCCGGCCTCTCTGCCCAGTGTCTCCCTCCCTTCCCAGGACTTCGGGGCTCTCCTTCCCGCCAGCCTTCTCCCCACAGTCTCAGCCCTGGGAGAGATGGAAGTGTTTGGACTCCAGTGAAGCCGAATCCCTTCCTACAGGGCTCCCTAGCCTCGAGCAAATCGACGGACATCTGCGTCTGGTAACTGAGTCAGGCGCTGGAGAAGCGCCACCCACTGAGGAGCCGGGAGAGGCAATGCAACAGGGCAGAGCGGTTCGCCTCGTGAGACGGCGCTTCCTTGATGCCTCAGACCTGGGATGTCCCTACCTCAGGCGAGTCCCAGGGTTGCGAGGTGCTAGTGTGCAGGTTGGGCATGGCCTGGGGAAGGATACCAGGAGGACCTGGCCCCAGGCTGGAACTTCCTCCGGGGTGGAAGTGGAAATGCCCGGGCTTGGAGATTAGTTGGATACAAGGGTTAGGGAGGAGACTGCAGGTTGGGGAGCAGGTAAAGCGGGGTGTCCTAAGCTGAGATAAGCAACAAACAAGGACCAAGCTCAGGAGTGGCCGCTGAAACGGAGGTGCCTGTGAGTGCCCTGGTGAGGGACATAGCTGGCTCTAGCGCCAAGGCTGGTGAGTGATTCTGAGTAAAAGAAGCTGCCGCAGATATGGGGTCCACATGTAGGGCTCAGAAATAAGGAGACCCCAGGACCTAGTGTCCATTTACACCTGGAGTCCATGCTGTCCTGGCCTGGCAGGGAGGCGGTGAGCACCTCCTTCACTCTCTACAGTGTCCCATGGTGGGTGGCACATGGTCACCCTACCACAGGGCCCCTGCGGGACAGGAGAGAAAAGGGAGGGTAAGGCACGACGCTGTTCACGTCCTTGCTTCTTTCACTGCTTCACCCTCCCTGAGGCACTGCCTTCCCGCCTTAGACATCTACACTGTCACCTTTATTTACTGTTCTTGGCCCTTCTGCCCGATTCTCCTCGCTTCCTGGAAACGAGCCTAAGGGGACGGCTTTGTCCCTCAGGTACTTGGGAGTCACGCAGGGGGCTGGCTGAAGTGGGAGAAGCCTTCTCCTGTGGCTGTGTCCGGGGCTGGGCTGGGGGAGGGGGCGGCCCGGCTTGGGGACAGCAGGCCGCCTTTTGGCCGCCTCGGCTCCTCTGTTTCTTCCTGCAAATGCTCCCCAGTATCTCCTCCCCTGAGGAGCTGGGTTCATCCTGTCTGGTGCCCTTTCTCTAAGAATTCAGGCCGGATGCCCGTCACCTCGAAAGAAAGGTTTTGTGTGCACTTGGGTGGGGGTCTCCCGAGGATGCGCAGGCCCAGGACTACAGTCCCGGAGCCCTTTGAGGACCAGCCGAGGGCCAAGGGCCACTTGGCGGCCTCATTCCCGACACAGTCAGCGCAGCCGCCAAGGGCTGCGCCAGCCCCTGCCCACCTGCAGAGGGCGCCACAGCCATCCCTAGGGCGGAGTGGGGCTCGCCAGGGCGGGGAAGCACCGCTTCGAGGATGGGCTTCCCAAGGGCAGCCACGAGGTTGGAAAGGGAAGGACAGTAGGAACCAAGAGGAAGAGGGGGGAGTTAGTCAGTGTAAGGAGCGGGAGGGAGAGAGAGGTCACCCGTTAGGAGCTCAACCCTCAGTTTCCTCATTTGTAAAAGGGACTCAAGCACAAGTGAAAATCCGGTGAGAGGTGCCAGAACTTGGAAGGTGCTCCGCAGAGGGCCGAGGGGGTGATGTCAGGCAGTGGGATTTGTCATCAGCCCTGGGTCACCTGCCCTCGCCGAGCCTCAGTTTGCCCATCAGCGAACTGGGGCTAAGGAGGCTGCTTCTCCTGGCTCTCAGAGCTGAGCACCCAGAGGCCGCGGCCGGACAGGACCGGTCCGGGGGACTCCGGCTCCGGGCGGGTAGAGGGCACCGGACGCTCGGCGGGGAAAAGGAAGCCGAGCCGCACCCGACCCCGCAGATGCTGCATTAGGTCTTCGTTTTGCCTGCTGGTTTCCCGCCCCATGTCCTCCGCCACGGCTGTCACCTGGTAGCTAGCGCAGCGCTGAGGGGCGCAGGAGGCGCAGGAGGCCGCCCGGGTGCTCAGGGTGCCCGAGCGGGACGCAGGGGGTGGGGCATCGGCGCGGCGGGGGCGGGGTCTAGCCGGGGGGCTGCGGGCCCGGG